TGGTTCGAACCCGACCTCTGCATCTCGACTTCCCCTGTCTAGGGTTGGGCAGCTTGGCAATATCCAAGCCCTCGTGCCTTCTTCGGGTTGCATAGCAGCTAGGCACTGAAAGGGTGTTGCAGTTGAACAATACCTATGTATTCATACGTTGCTACAGCGGTTGCTCTTTCTCCCTTTTACTCACAGTTATCGTGAGCTTCTCGACCGTTGGCGAATGTGGTTCTACCGTGCAGATTTTGACGTGGCGAACAAGGTATATTTGTTGTTTGATTACATAACTACCGTGGCAAGTACCAAGCCAATAACCGCTCCGTCTGCCTTGGGATTGGGTTCAGCACAGTCACCCAATGGGTCTACGACGACCGGCGGTGACAAACCATCCGTCGGAACGGAATCGGCGTCAGCCCTGCTCAGCTCCTCTATGTCCCGCCCCTCACAGCGCACCCGAAATATTAGCCTATTGACACCAGTAAATCAGGTAAGGTCACTTTTGCAAGATCTATAGTGCGTGTAATTCTAACTCTAAAAAGCTACTCGTAGGTGACCGAATCATTTTTTTTGGTAGCGCTGACCAACGTTGTCCTGGAAAACTAGTAAAGCCGGTTGAAGCTACACACTGAGGCAAAAAGCATAAAAACGTTTAATTTTGTCATCATGACAGTGTTAATTGTTGAAACGGGGCGAGTTTTGGTCAACAAGCGATGGGTCCCGCCAGAAACCCAATCGAAAGTTTTTGGCAATCTGCTTCATAGGAATTGACGAGCAGTGGTCTGTACAACGTCATAGGATCATCCCAGAGTTCTGTCTCATTAGAGGAACTTCAATTGTGTATTCCAGCCGCTTCGCCGGAGCATATCATTGGAATTTCGGTGAGCATCCGAAAATCGTTTGGATTGATTCCAGTTTTGAAGCAATATACAGGCTGCGGAGACACCTCAAGCTACTACTTCTTGGCTGAACCTGATTTCTTCTGTCATGTCAGTCATAACTTCATGTGTTACCTTTCTATGAGGAATGTCTTTCTGGCCTGCTGTAGGTTGTTGGGGGTTCTGCTCGAATTAGGTGACAGTGAACTTGAGGCCATTTTGTCGTATTTCCAAACAATCAGGAGAAGTTTAGGAAAACGATTTATCATCTTCGCAAGATAGCGCATGATGTCAAACAAGAACCCAGGATGAAACAACGCCAGACAGATAACAGTCGTATATTGTTTGACGGGTTACCTAAATGGGTGCCACAGAGCAACTGTGAAGAGCAAAATGTATCACATACCTGTTGTGTGCAAAAGTTTATCATGTATGCCCATTTTATTGACTGTCTCCGCCCCTTTAAACTGTGGTAAATTTCGAATGCACTATGGGAGTACAGAGCAAGCCGAATAAGAGCGCCGCTTGCATGAATCTGACCGAATAGGCGTTCGACTGCCCAACACGGGAAATATCAAGTGCTCTGGGAATTTGCGCGGTCTTCTGCCGCGTCTGCATTGAATCAGTTTGGTTCGACACTCGAGCTCCAGTATTTACTGACGATACCGGTCACTGTTACAATGAGCAGATGCCTGAGTGTCGTTTTTGCGAATGATACACTAAGTGTATAGATGAATGGTATCTTAATCGCTCATTAACCATTCTCAATTCATCCGTGGTTTCAGGAGGTTGGAACTGGTGTAGCGCTGATGCTGCTTCTCGGCTTTTCAGCACAAATTGGTAAATAGTGACGTGACGAAGCACAAAATTTATCTTAGATTGCATTATCATGGTTGTTTGTTTCGAAACCCTTTTTTTCGTTCCAGGTTTTCGTCGCCTGTGGGTTTTGCGGTTGGCGCCTTGGACCGCAGAATAGACCCAGCTTGTCTTCGGTCGGGAACCCTACAAGCTCAACTGTGACAGTCCAAGGTACCGGTACGAGCCCATCGGACGACACCATTGCAACTACTACTACGACCTCATCTTCGAGAAATCTTCAGATGCATGGTGGTGGGGGGAAACACACCATTTGTCAACGATGCCGAAAACCTCTACCCCGTTGTTCCATCTGTCTGATGCACCTGGGCACAGTCGCCCTACCTCTGACGGACTCGAATTGGTTTACGCCAACACGCGAAGAGGCCTTGAAACGTTCGGCTATTGCTGCAGTCCCATCTCTGTCGGAGAACATGGCACGCGTGATGCAGCTGAGTATTATTGGCGCCACCGGACTAGAAGTGATGAACAACCGTGGTGACGATGTGAAGGCGCATGCAACGTAAGACATTATTATCTCTCCATCATGGATAGTCGTTCAGCTGTAACACCCTTCCGGTGCCATGTCACCCAAAGGAAGCACGAAGTCTGGGATACTGCCAGGTTGCCCGAGCCTAGACGAGGGAAGTCGGGAGGTAGAGGTCGGGTCCGAACCACGGACCTTCCGGTCAGTAGATCCGCGCTCTAACCACTGAGCCATCTCGCAAGCCATCCATCAACAATAAGACGATGTCATCTCTGGTTCGGTTTACTGCCTTGTTCTGCTTCCTCCCAATGTGCTCATCATCATCATCATCATCATCATCATCATCATCATCATCATCATCATCATCAGCGACGGCAACATCAGTATCTCGCGAGTCATCCATCAGCGATAACAAGATGTCATCTCTGGTTCGGTTTACTGCCCTGTTTTGTTTCTTCCCAATGTGCTCATCATCATCAGAGACGGCAACATCAGTGTTGGCGTTGATTCTTCACTACCATACAACCACAATACTTAGTCAATTACATTTAAAGGTGGAAAAGGTAAAGTGAACGAGGAGGAAACTTGGTGTTAGTCTGTCAAAAACATTCTGAGGTGCCTGCAAACGCTCAGTCGGATAGTGTGAAAATCAACTGACACCATGAAGCCATTGACATCGACTAACCGCCATGTTCCGCGGTCGATGAATTACTCACGCTTCATAGGTTACGCCGGCTAGGACATCTGCTCGCAGAGCTGTTGTTGCACAGCCCTGTGCTGAGTGCTGTGAGCGACCGAGAAGTGGACAGTGTCGGACCTGACAACGAAGTATGAAAACACTAACCAGTAAATTCTGTTAGGTCGAAACTGCCTCCTTCCTGGATGGGGACTCCGAGACTCATTTCTGCACCATCTTCAGGCAAGCTTAAAGAGAGTTACGGACACCTTATTCTTGAAGGAGGACCGCACCAACAAGACCCAAACTCCTGGGATAGATTTGCTGACGTTCAGCACCCCAGCAGCAAAGGAATACCACGATATAGTGTAAACCCCTGCGAGCTGATGTTCCAGACCGCCATCCAGTGAGAACTCATATAGTCGCCCGCACTATTAGACAGTTTTGACATTTGTTTGAATAAAGAGCAATGAGGAACTCTCCCGCGATGGATGAATTATTCGCGCTTCATGGGTTACGCCGGTTAGGACTTCTGCTCTCAGAGCTCTTGTCGCACAGCCCTGTGCTGAGTGGAAGCGACCGAGAAGTGGACAGTGTCTAACTTGACAACGAAGTATGAAAACACTAACCAGTAAATTCTGTTAAGTCGAAACTGCCTCCTCCCTGGATGGGGACTTCGGGACTTAACCTGCCAATGGTTAATGACACTGACGCAAATGTTCCCACTTTCCGGTGATTGAAGCTGTAGCAACCGGAACCAATGTGCCTATGGTACACGGTTTATAGCTAGTAATTTGATTGATTGAATTGAATTGATTTGTTAGAATAGTTTAGTCGATGCCAGCAATCCAAAGGGCCAAATTTTATGGAATTTGAGCATGGACGTGTACCATTCGTCGATCGGAATGTCCTGTGTCTTCATATCGCCTAATCACCTCCTACCCAGTCCTAACCAAATTCATACTCTGTAAATTTCAAGAACATTTACGAATTTTAACAGACACTCTTATTTTGTGAGACGAATTTACTTTCGTTGATGGTCAGCAGGCGGTCTGTGGCTCCTAATTGCAACCTATCATCGCTGTGCAGTACAGCAGCAACAGAATACTCTACTTCACTGTGCCAAGTGTATGACCAACACAACCAAATGTACATCTAGTTTTTGGCCACCGTTAACAGAACCCTCTGTCATCGCCCACAAGTTCTTTTCATTGAAGACGAACGTTTTCCATTGTCTCCGTGTATCAGACCCTACGAAACGACAGCAGAAAGTAAATGTCATTTATCCGTTCGGCTTTATTCATTTACGCCTTTCACATAATGTGCTCTACACTACTGAACCTTTATCGTCCTTAATCCCTGTTCTCTTCAAAAGTATTTGCACAGTGGGTGCTGTTCCTGCTCACAGAAACCAATGGTGGGTCATATTCACATCTGCGTCCCGCTGTACATCCCGTAAACCTTCGAATTTGAGATAGACACGAATTGGTCACGAAACGTTCGGTAGAAAAAGCGAACCCAAGTCATACGGTGATGCCCTCTATGGAATGAACTTTTGAATGGAATGAACTTTTGTAGGTTTCAGCCCCTGTGGAGGTGTATGGATCAGGTAACGCTAGGCTGCACAAAACCGACCGCAAAAGTCCAATAGGTAATAGTTGTAAAGTGCCTCATGCCCCGATTGGTTAGTCATGCTAAATTGTAGCCTTTATCACTACTCAGTCCGCCTCACAAATCGACTACTTGATTCGTTTTCACTAGACCGCTGTATTCTGTAACGTCCTATTTTTCCGCTGAAACATGGCGGTGCTTTAGCTTGCGTTAGTCCGAAGCTCGCACTGGACACAATGATCTCAATCTGTTCTTGTCGGGTTTTCCGAGTAACATTTGGTGTATTGCGCAAAACCTTCTTGAACTTCAAATGTTTTTCGCAGACGAAAGCGAACCACATCTGATATTTCTACCGCCATGGCCAGCCTATTCATCTGGTGTCAAGCCTGTCGACACGGAGGACACGCTAGTCATCTGGTTGAATGGTTTTATGGTTGTGCGTCCTCCTCAGCTGACGTTGAGCCACATCCTCAATGTCCTGTCAGTGGATGCCAGTGTCGGTGTGCCAGTTTGGATTCCCTCCGACCCGTCGCAGCGGCACGCGTTCCTTCACGATCATTTGACATCGATTTGGCCCTGGAAAACGAGGATCAGCCTATATCATCCACAGAGGAGGAGGGGGAGGAAAGTGATGTGGATCCAATTGGTTTAGATGACCTTATACTTCAAAGCTCTTCCAACCGTGTTCCTGATCCAATTGATGGCCAACTACACCTCATAAAACCAATTGATATGGAGATATCCACATTAACTAGTAAATCTACTCATTGAATAGGCCCTCTGAAAACAGTTTTTTCGCCGTTCAGATCTGATTCAGTTATCTTTCTCTTCCATTGTTCAATCTTGGGTATTTTTTCATCGATGGTTAATGACTGACTTTATTTATGAAAATAAATTCCCAGGTGCAACAACATCTCTGTTTCTGTATGAACAAAAATTATGGATAAATTAGGGTCTACTTTCTAGGTCTGGACTCGACACCCACCTATCTCCCTTTCCATCGGTAGCTTGTTTTACCGCTGGGATAAATTTTTGTGTTATGAAAGTGAGATGTGATCAGCCCAAAGTCCCACCTTGATTTCGGTCATGCAGGTAAATCGGTGTCACGCGATGCTGCTGGATAGACACCAGTGATACTTGTTATATTGTGAGCGCGAAAGGTTGAGAACCACAACTTTCCTGCCCACATAGATCCGTCTGAAAAATTAAGATGAATGTGTTAGGCTTTGGTAACCGGTCGACCAGCGAAAACATTTGAAGACCGATTAATTTTGCCCATTATAGTCAAAGATTCGATCTTCTTGCGCTACCTGAGTAAGGCAATAGCAACGAAACACCTTAGCGAAATACACTCATTTGCAAACCACTCTGGTTTTGCGAAAGACTCACCTGGAACCCAGCTGAATCTCTCGTTTGTGATGTTTCTAGGCGACGAATTTCCAGCAACCTTATGAGAAGTACATTATGAATAGACGAAGCACCGTCTTGGGAACAACCAGACCTCTTCGGGTAGCTAATAAGGTACAGAAGATCAGCTTTTTGGACTTACCTTCAGTTGAAGTGTGCTCGCAAAGCAACTAGTTCATCATCATCAATGACAGCGAAACGTCAGTAGTAAGTGCTGGCGCTTAAATACTATCATGCTATCCATAAAATTGCACCCTGTAAATGGAGTCAATCTATGCTGGGAAGCCGAAAAACGTACGGCTGTTTCTTACTTATTGGGGATCTTTGATAGTGCGCATCTTACGAAACTTCAGAGATTTCCGAACCTGCAACCTCCCTCTACTAGTTTGAACACTTAACAGTTCGGCAACGACCGACCAAATCGCACACAGTTAGGAAATGGCCTCACTCTCATACTACCAACTAGCTCCAGGTAGTTCGGAAGAAAAATTTCGTATGAGTGAAACTGTCGTCAGGTGATGTGGGTTTCATGGCTAGAAGGTGAGTGGCGCCGTATCCCGTCTAATTACTAGTTAATCGGCCGTTCGTAACTGGGCGCCTATCGGTCAGGGGGATCATTTGAACTCTCTGGGATTTCGCGAGATGCGCACTGCTGATGAAACACCTGTACAATGCTTTTTACCACAGATTGGGTTCATCGACAGGACGAGATCTTGAATGAGAACTCCCAAGTCTCCCTATGCCACTAACGAACTCTTGGTCACTGCCCAACTTGCATTCTTTGTACTGCTCACCATACCAAAATACAAGGCGTAAATACTTGGCGTTATCGAGAGAAAAAGAGCTCATATGCGAAAACGGTGACACATTTTGTCGGACGCGAAACAAATGTCTGCGTAACTATCCCAGCTTTCTGTCCAATCGCTTCACCGAGTTTGTGGTAGTTCCCACTGTAAGTTTCGTAAACTTTACCCAAATATCAACCAAGACGAACTAAGAGCCACCTGGGAGAGCAGTGGATGCCCTGTTGACAAAAGTCGCTAAACACGATGCTTGCATAATTAATTTAGGTCACTGACAGTGCATTTTCCTGTTCATCTTTAAGAAAGGTAGAGTTTTTGGAAACCTGAAGTGTAGAGCATAGAGTTCTGAATGTTGCTTTCTCGAGAACGAGTTCCTCGGAAATAATTAAGTAATGTGAAACAGCAAATTCCTCCCTCGGAGACCAGCATTTCTCGCGATATTGCTTTTCCCTTCAAGGGGCGAATTCCAGGAAACATGTTGCGGGCTCCAGAGACAACTGGTTTGATCCTAGTGGCAATCCTCTGTCATCAGTTCATCAGTCAGCCGTCACATCCCGACCCCCGATTCCACTAGGACTTCTGTTACATTTTCCGGTGATCTTGGGCCGATCTGTTCTCAACAAATCTCCGATCTTAATATGCTGATGTTTTTCAGCTATGCTACGGATTTGCAATATCTGATCTGCCCTGTATCTAACGATCTGCTTTCATTTGCAGACGGTCCCGTTATGCCGTTTTTTAGCAACTGATATGGCAGGGCGATCTAATATGGCTGCACTGCTGGTTAACAGCATTCGGCAACAACCTGATATTTTGGATTCCGGGTTCAGGTACACCAAAATTTGGTAAATCAAATGCTGAACTTTTGGCAGAGGGATGCCCCCATTTATGTTGACATCGAAAGCGCCTCAGAACACTGAAGTTGGAGAAAGGTCCTGACGGTCACCAAGTCGGTTCAACCTACCCACTATGGCAAATACATTTTTGGAGATGCTGTAAAAGTGGTTTGCGTGTTGCGCACCATTCATCGGCATTCTTCAATTATTAGTAGGATCGTTTTAGAGAGGTAAGGCAAACAGCCAATGAATTCATCACTGGGTGGGATTTCATTTTCGACACAGACGCTCCGTCAGTCTGTGAATAAGTTTTCGGGTGGACCGAGTTTTGGGGCAGATGATGAACCAATTAGTGTGATTTCCAGCTGGCCCACTTAATTCATAATGACTGTTATCAAGATGGTTCATATGTATGGCTAACACAGCAGACGGGTTAGGACGGCGTTGTCGGGCCTTACTCTACCCAGGTCCAAGAAAGTTTAATGAAACGCTGCTCTTTGGTTTTGTTCATGGATTTTGTTGGCCTGTGTGCGTTAGTGGGTGCTAGGACGACCGGAGATTCAGTGGGTCATTTTTTGCTCCCAGTTTAGACTGAAGAATACACGCCGTCACGTGTTCATTGGCTGATCTCAATTCACTCTCCTGACGCTCGCCAGTTCTACATCCTCTATCCCGTTTATGCTGGGACGTTTGGCGATTTCCGTCACCTCGGCTATCCATCGCTGTTGTGTGATCCTTAGTTCTCGTCTAAAAACTTTAACATTTTCCAAAGCTACTGCATGACCTGTCATCATTGAGAATTCAACCGTTACCAGATATTCGTCATCGTTTCTTGGTGGTTCTGCTTACACCGCCTGTACTGACTAATTCTGGTATTCAGCATTCTAGGTTGTTCGAACTGTGTAAACCGTATTTACATCTTACGATGCACGCAAGGTTCCTAGTCCTATCAACCTGGAAGATGTTCTTTCCATTACGATGAGTTTTGCCAGACTCCCTTGTATTTGGAAGACGTCGTCCTCTAGGTTTCATAAAACAACAATCATTCACACGTACATGCCTTTCAAGCACGAATTCACAGGTACAAAAATTGTTATTTATCCGGTTCCATCCATTATGCCTCGCCAAAATAACTGCTCAAGTGCTCTTTTTTCCACAAGTTATCTTTTCCGGAAGAGATTCTTTCAGGTTCCAGATTCTTCCTTTCAAGTGAAATTTTCGATCACCAGTTTATCGATAACATATTTTCATAAGGGTTTGCGGTATCGTTTATCACAGCTCTCGTGAACTTGCCTCCAACTTATATATTATGAATATACTGATTATGAAGGTCAGAGTCCTGAAATTGACCACTGAATGCCCGAAGTCTACTGACACCCTCAACTCCACTACACACTGACCAGACACAACGCCACCGATGGGCAGACCGATGCGCTAACAAGTACGCTGACCAAACACAACGCCACCTCGATATGCAGCGGGAGACCGATGGGCAGACCGATGCGCTAACAAGTTCAGTTACTTCCAATCAGTTGGAACCAGAAGACACCATCATAGCAACCGTTGCCGTCGGACCGGTAGTCCGTGCTGTGGTCTTGGAGGCCATGAAACAACTACCCGTGAGGCTTGACGCGGTCCACGTTGTCACCAAAAGCGACTGCGTATCACAGAAGCCACCGGAGTACCACCAATCCAGCTGACCAGCAACCCGTCCATCAGGGGAACTTTGGAAACTTTCCCAACGGCGGAGTTTATTATCTGTTGTCAATGACTGTCTTCTCTTGAGTGACCGTATCGTCATTCTCACTGAACTTCGCAGACAGGTCCCAGTACAGCTCCACGATGGGCATCCAGGAATGAGCCCATGAAGGCTCTTGCTCGCAATTATGTTTATTTACCCTGTATGGATTAGCACATAAAGCAAGTATGTTGGAGTATTTCCTGTTGCGCAGCTGCCCGAAAGTTACCTAACCGACGGTCGCCAGAGCCTTGGCCACAACCAGGGCGCATTCATGTGGATTTTGCCGGACCAATTAATTGACAAATCTTCCTCCTCGTTGTCGTTGCATTGAGTAAGGAGCCAAAAGTCCCCATTATGTCTGAGACAACAACGATGACAACCACACTAAACTGCGGTATTTGTTTTCAATAATCGTTATCCTGGAAACTATTGTGTGTGGTCTTAACTCACATCCCACCAGTTTGGTGAATTCGCTCGAAGACACGGCATTTCACATATTACTTCCCAACCATTCGATCTCAAATCCAATGATAAGGCCGAAGGACCCGTAGACACCCTTAAACGCGCGTTGACAAAAGCATGGGAGGAAACGGCCACAGCAGAAGGCCTGGATAGATTTCTGTTGAATTAAAGAGCGACTCATAAGCCACATTCTCAGGACGGTCGCTCTCCAGCAGGGATTATGATGAATAGATAATTGAGACTTATTAATGATGCTGTCTTGCCAAAACTTACATGTTTTCAATCACTACAGGAAAGAAACCAACATTGAGGCCTGAAAACCGTGTGCTTGTAAGGAGCTGTCTCACAGGGGGCGGACTGCTGGTGTTGTCCCCAAAAGTATCGGTTTGGTAATTTACATCTTCCAGGTGCGATCATTGATATGGAAGTCGATCATGTCGATCAGCTACGGTTGACTGAGTGCCAGATCTCGAAGGCGGGAGAACATTTACTGGATTTCAACCTTCTGCCTAAAACTTTGTTCTCCCAAGACCAACTCCTATAACCACTGCTTCATATGTACCACCAAAGTTACATCCACTACTGCAACTTGGACGCC